AGGGTGAAGGCAGGGCCCTGTGACCTGAGTGACCTGCCATCTCCTCCCAGTTGGACCAAGTCCTGAGAAGTCCTGGCAGGAGAAAGACACACCACCATCCTCCCAATGAACAATTCTCAAAATTCATCTGAATGGGGGGGTGGAGGCGGGAGAGAGGGGCAGAAAGCATGCTGACCGTATTTCCTGAAATGTGGAGGAGAGACTCGCTCAGAACACAGAAAGACGAACTGACCCTCCTAGGCTTATGTTCCTCTCTGACTCAGAGGTTCTTGAGTGCAGGGGAGACTGCTATTTGTTTCCTGTTTTCAGCGCAGTGCTCTGGGTAGGGTGAGGATTGGAAGCACATCTGTAACTGCTGTGGCCGGTCAGGGTCAAGGCCAAGCTCCCAGAGCTGGATTACGCCCCAGGCTGCCCAGGGCTATGGATGGGCATCACCCACCTGACACCAGGAAGTGGGAGGAACAGTTGAAGGCCGTGGAGACTGTAACCAGGATGAACTTGACAGCAAGGATCGTCTGTTTACGTGCTTGGGGGGGTGTCATCAGCACCTCCCAGCTTGTGCTCCAGCACCCCTGATGCAGGGCCTCCAGGGCCTGACCTCTGCCAATGGCACTAATGCACTGATACTCCAGGGCGGCTGGGAGAGCCCGGGGGGGGGGGGGGGGGGCGCGGCAGGCGGGGGTGGGGGGGGGAGCAGGCTACCTTCAGGGCTGAGGTTTCTTGGTCCCTTTAGAAGCTGGGACAGGGAGGAGGAGCACTCGGCCTTGTCAGGGGAAATTTACAAACAAGACAGCAACCTGTACAGACATTTGCGCAGTTAAAACCGTCACCACGCCCTCTTCCTGGGACCTGGCCTCTATTCCAGCTGCTGGTTCCGTTGGTCCCCAGGAGAGCCCCGTGCTGGCCTCACACGCTGCAAGCGGACAGGTAAGGAGGCCAGGTGTATGAGCTGCGTGGGGAGGCTGGGGGGCGGCTGTGCTGAGAGAAGGTGAGGCAGAAACATCCCTAAATGATGAGGGCTCTTCTCACAGCCGATGGCGTGCTCTCACCACGGAGAAGTAATCACCCCTGGGAATGGCCTCAGACCTGCTCGCAGGAAAGGGGCACTGACACCCCCGCGGAAGGGCCTGGACTGCGGCAGCCATGCAGCCGTCCACGGGTCCGCCAGCCCCGCTCTCCTCTCCAGCCGGCGCCCAGCCTGGAGTCCCCGCTCCATCATCCCAGACCCTTCACGTCCCCTGCGAAGCTGCCAGGCCAAGGCTCAGCGAGCACCAGGTGCTGTCGAATGAATGAATATCCAAAACCTGGTATTCTTACAGTGCACTTCTCCCCGAGCTGGGATGATTACTCATAACAGATAAAGTCACGACACATGTGTACGGAAGGAGAATAGGGTAAATGCTTTTCTGTTTCAGAAAGAGAAGCCATCCGAAACCAGTTTGGCTCAGTGGATAGAGCGTCAGCCTGCGGACTGAGAGGTCCCAGGTTCGATTCCGGTCAGGGGCATGTGCCTTGGTTGCGGGCACATCCCCAGTGGGAGATGTGCAGGAGACAGCTGATCGATGTTTCTCTCTCATCGATGTTTCTAACTCTCTATCTCTCTCCCTTCCTCTCTGTAAAAAATCAATAAAATATATTTTAAAAAAAGAAAAAAGAAAGAGAAGCCAGGGAAGTAAAGGATGTAGAAAAATGATTTATGCCTAATCACTGAGGCAGCTGGCCCTGAAACCACAGAGCCCTAATCCCAGAGATTTCTATTTACCTGGAATAGTAAGAAACCTTTCATATGCCCTAACCAGTTTGGCTCAGTGGATAGAGCATCGGCCTGTGGACTCAAGGGTCCCGGGTTCGATCCTGGTCAAGGGCATGTACCTTGGTTACGGGGACATCCTCAGTGGGAGGTGTGCAGGAGGCAACTGATCAATGTTTCTCTCTCATCGATGTTTCTAACTCTCTATCCCTCTCCCTTCCTCTCTGTAAAAAATCAATAAAATATATTTTTTTTAAAAAAAGAAACCTTTCATATGACACACGAAGGAGCCGTGTCTGCCGTGTCCCTAGCTAGCCTTCTCCCTGTCACTCTGCAGCCAGAAGAGAGAATGTGCCCTTCACCCTGTCGATGGGCCACCTCCCCAGCCTCTGGGTCACCCAGGGCCTGAGTGAGGCCAGGGGACAAGGCAAAGGGAACCAGCGCGCTAAAACCTGCTGCGATGCGATGAGGCGTTCAGGGAGAGGGGCTGGAGCAGAGCTGTGGCTGGCCTCGGAGTGCACAGAGGTTTGGGGGGCTGGGGAGCGGAGCAGGGGGTGTTAGATGTGTGGTCGGGTTACGGACTGGATCTTCTCAATTATTTTCCAAACAATGCAAGTCATCACTGGGATTCTCTTTTAATTACCGTTGCCAACCGGGATGTCTTCTGGGAGACCACGCCAGGGGAAGCAGGGGAGTGGAGCCAGGGCTGCAGAGCTCAGACTCACGCCCGCCTACACTCGGGCTCCAGCCCCTCTCGGTCTGAGTCAGGGCAGCTTCCCCAGCGCTCCCATTGTTCTCTCATTCCCCACAGACAGAGAGACGCTGCAGAAACACTGAGCCGCAGTGACGAGTCTGCAGACACTGTGAGGGCTAGAAACCCACGTTCAACGCAGCAGAAAACCGCTTCTAAGGCATTTTGTCAGTTTAAGACTCGGATAACCTCTGGCGCTGCAAGCGCAACCTGCGCTCCTCTCGGCCACAGGCAGCTGGAACACACATAGTTTCCCTCCGAGAGGCATTCCGATGGTCTTTTAAGTGAAGAACAAAGAAGGAAACAACAAGAAATGGTTTGGAAGCTCCACAAACAGCCCCCCACGGTGGCCCCAGCCAGCACCGGACACGGGAACCAATTGGCTTACCCCTGGGGCCTGGTCATGAAGTCCTGAGACCTAGGCTCCTCCCACTGGGAGACTCGGGGTCTGGGTGGGGTGACAGCTCTGCTCTGAATGTCCGGGAGCCCCTAACATTCACGTTAGAGCCCTGCCCCGTGTATGGGCAGTTAGATGGGGCCCTGAGGCGGGGCGGTGATGGGTTAGAGCCCTGGTTAGACGCCAGGCGCGCGCGCGCACGCGCGCGCGCTCTCTCTCTCTCTCTGCCCGCCCCCCCCCCCCCCCCGCATGAGGACACATCGGGAAGGTGGCCCTCTGCGAGCAGGAAAGAGCCCCCCCTGGGATCGACCCGGCTGGCGCCTGGGTCTCGGCCTTCAGCCTCCAGATCTGTGTTCCTAGTGTTTCGTGCTGCAGCCTGAGCTGACACACAGCCACACGCGTGTCCCAAGCTCCCCACTGCACGGAGGGCCGTGGGGGAGAGGGGGGGAGCAGGATGGCGAGAGCCTCGGGCTGTAGGAGGCCTCGGGGCGTCAGTGCTGGAACGCCCACAGGGCTTACCTCCGGAAGACGGCTTTGCCCTCGCTGCCCACCATGGTTTGCTACTGTAATACAAGGGCAAAAGGCGCTTTAGCATGGACACCAGCGACATCGTCCCCTGAAAGAAAGCTGCCCGAAGTTAAGAAAAATTACTTGTCAGGGATGTTATTAAAGGAAATGTATTCTGTTAACAATAATGTCGGGGACACATCTCCCTCTCGGCCTGGGCCGGCCCCGGGGGAGAAGGCACGTGCCAGCAGGGCTGGGGTGGCTGTGCAGCGGCTGCGCCCAGGCCTCCCGCCCTGCAGGTGCCTGCTCTCCAGCCACCGAGCGCCATGGGTCTTGGGCTCCCGTGTGGCAGCTACAAGCATGTTTATCAGGAAGGATGCATCCAGTCTTTAAGAAGTCTGTGGCTGTGGTTTTACACGCGCGCACACACACACACACACACACACACGGTTTGTGGACTTTCCATCTGCAAGAGATAACCCCCTCCCCCAGAGAATGTGTGGTTAAAAATACCATAATTAGCCCTGGCCAGTATGCTCAGTGGTTACAGCACCAGCCCTGGCACTGAATGGCTGAGGGCTTGATTCCCAGTGAAGGGTATGTACCTGGGTTGCAGGTTCGATCCTGGCCTGCCTTGGGCGCCTGCAGGAGACAACCAATCCATGCATCTCTCTCACATCAATGTCTCTCCCCACTGCCCTCTCTTACTCCCTCCCTCCTTCCCTCTACTCCCTCTGAAAAAAAGAAAAAAATATCAATGGAAAAAAATCCTTGGGTGAGGATTAACCAAAAATATATGTATGTATATATACCATCATTAGATCTTAAGTGTTCTTATCCAAAAATAGATACGGTAACCACATGGCAGGATGGAGTGCTGGCTGAGCTGTGTGGTCCTCATCTGTCATTTATACATGCACCAAACCAACAGCTGCACACCTAAACTTACCCAACGTTAGTTACATCTCAGTGAGGCTGGAAAAAATACCACAATTAAGTCAATATTGTTTCAGGAAAAGACCTGCACTCCTGCGTGCTTTATTTCTGGGGCAAATGATGACCAGATTAACTCCATCAGCTGCGTCTTTAGTCAATCCCAGTCCCCAGTGCGGTGGTCCCCTGAGGGGATAGAGGACAGGCGGGTGGTCCAAGTGACAGCATGGAGCCCCCCCCCCCCCCCTTAAGCCAACAACACGGCCTTCCGCTCAGGGCCCAGCCCTCACCTCTGGGCCAAAGCCTTCTTCCCTCCGCCCCGCGCTCTCCGCCCAGCCCAGAGAGCAGCGCAGTGGGGCGCGGAAGGGACTGGCTGGGGGCGGGTATCTCCGGCCCCCCCCCCCCCCCCCCGTCACAGTTTAGCTGGAAAGGAGGGAAGGTCTGGCCTGGCCACGGGACAAGCTGCCCAGCGAGGCGGGCAGGACCGGCTGCAAACCCGAACCTGTGGCTCCCCTCTTGCTCTTTTCTTTCTTTAAGAAACACAGTTTATATGAGCTTTATTATTATTTTTAATTTGCTGATTGAGAGAGAGAGGACAGGAGTGGGAGGGAAGAAGGGAGAGGGAGAGGGAGGGGGAGAGGGAGGGAGAGAGAGAAAGAGAGAGAGAGAGAGAGAGAGAGAGAGAGAGAGAGAGAGAGAGAGAGAGAGAGAGATTGCTCCCCTTACTTCCGCACCCATGGGTCGCTTCTTGTATGTGCTCTGAGCCGAGCCCAGCGGAGGCTCGAACCCACTGCTCCCAGCCAGGCGCCTCCTGCGCTTCAGACCCGCGGGGCTCGGCGTCCTTTCGGAGCCGGAGCCGGCGAGGTTTGGTCCTGACGGGACTACACAGCCTCGGCATTGTCACTACTTTCTAGGATACGATGATGCTGTTATTCATTAAAAATAAATGTGAGCACAAAAACAGAAGAGAACATCGCAAAGAAAAGCACCCTTCGGGGCACAGGCGCAGTCCTCCTCCTGGGGGAGCTGGAGCAGGCAGAGCCGCGCAGGGAGAGCCAGGACACACCGCCTCCTGCAGCGCGGGGAGGGCCGGCGCCGCTGGCACCCCACCCCCTTCTCCCCAAGTGCTGGCCGCAGCACCGGGCCCACTCCTGCCCAGGTCCCGGCTTCACCCGGAGAAGTTCTGAAAGACGGGGGCGGCCTCCACCCAGCTTTGGAAGCAGGCCGGGCCCCGCTCCCGGATCTGCTTGCGCCCTTTGTCGGTGATGACCTCCCCACTGGGCTTCAGGATCACAAGCTTGGGGGTGGCTGTGACGCGGTACCTGGTCCTCAGCTCACTGCGGAGAGAAGCGGGCAGGCCAGGGTCAGCGGGCGGGGAAGCTGTGCCCCCCGCCAACCCTGCACAGCCTCAGGGCCACGCCCGCCAGGGGCCCGGGAGCCTCCTTCCTTCTGCGTGGCCCTCCGCCAGCCTGTCCCAGAGCGTCAGCAGCTGGGCTGCTGGGGCCTGTGCTGCCCACGACCATGGCACAGACACGAGGGACAGAGGAGCCCTCACAACGTGGCTGCTGTGACTTTCATCTTAGTTCATTTTCATTTAAATTTAAGAAGCCACATGTGAGCCCTAACCGGTTTGGCTCAGTGGATGGAGCGTCGGCCTGCAGACTAAAGGGTCCCAGGTTCGATTCCGGTCAAGGGCATGTACCTGGGTTGCGGGCACATCCCCAGTGGGGGTTGTGCAGGAGGCAGCTGATCGATGTTTCTCTCTCATCGATGTTTCTGACTCTCTATCCCTCTCCCTCTCTGTGGAAAATCAATAAAATATATTAAAAAGAAGAAGAAGAAGAAGCCACATGTCATGGCTATTGTACTGCGCAGTGCAATTCTAAACCCACAAATAACCCCAATACATTCATATTCCCCTCCACATCTCAAGAGGTTGAAAATACCAGGTGGATGCCGAAGCCGGTTTGGCTCAGTGGATGGAGCGTCGGCCTGCGGACTGGAGGGTCCCAGGTTCGATTCTGGTCGGGGGCATGTACCTGGGTTGCGGGCACATCCCCAATAGATGTGCAGGAGGCAGCTGATCGATGTTTCTCTCTCGTCAATGTTTCTAACTCTCTCTGTCTCTCTCCCTTCCTCTCTGTAGAGAATCAATAAAATATTTTTTTTTTTTTTAAAAAAAAAGAAAATGCCAGGTGGACAGAATGGTAGCAGTTAAATTCTATGAGTCCTACGTAAAGGTGGAGCTTACGCGGCTTCCCGCCCCTCCCATTCCAGGGCCTGCTGACAGCTGGGAGGAAACTGTTCTTGGCTACTTCACCGCCATGTGTGACCCCACAAGCGGCCTTTCACACAATGGTTTGCATTTATTTAGGGAAAGGAGCCTCCTCCTTCGTTTTGCAAATCTCCCCACACCCTTCCCCGGTTCTGCCCTCAGGACAGGGCGGCTGGTGGCCATCCCCTCCAGTGCCCACGGCCAGCCTGCAAGAGCCTCCGCCAACAGCAATCCGCTTTCCCTCATCTGTCACCCTCAGGATGTGGACCTGAGTGGAAGGGAAATGCACGTGAGACCTCGCGTAAGCAAATCTTCCCCGGACATCTCCATCCAGGTCCGACTGTTTCCAGCACCAGGCCCGACGGCTCTCCCCTGGGCAGGAACACACCCGGCACCTACTCCCACTTCAAACACCTTTGGCAGTGAGAGCCGGCCCTGCTCTGGCCACAGGGGCCTCACTAAATGTCAACTAATCAGTGCGCACAGACCACTTCATCAGACCATAATATGGCATTGCAACTGGAAACCAACAAAAAGTAATTGTTTGGGATGAGCTTAAAAACTAAATAGCCATAGATTGTATGTGAAACAGCAATGCAGGCTACAAAGTAATGAACACAGAGCACTGTGGAACATACTACAATCCCAAACTGGAGACACAAGCAGACTCAGAACCAGTGCCTCCCTGTGGAGCGCGAGGAAAGAGGAAGGTGGGAGAATGCGCCGCCAAGACACCACAGCCACTCATCACCAGGAGGGACGGGACGGATGGGGCAGGCCCCCGGCTGCAGCCGGGCCTGAAACAGACAGCGCAGGCCGCAGGCCGAGCCCGGAGCCAGCTCCCGCCTGCGCCTGCGGGCGTTCCAGCTTAGCGGATATTTGTTTCCCTTTGATTTGCTGCTGCTGTTTTCATCACTGGCAACATTAAATCAAGCTCTGACACAGTGAACTGGGCTTTGAGGAGCAAGGAGGAGGTTTGGGATGGACATTTTGTTTCTCCAGCTTATCTTTTAAGAGTCACAGTGTGGGCCTCACATCCTCGCGCTGGCAGCCTCTGCCTGGGGACAGCTGTAACCCTGGAGCCACACAGGAGCCATACCTTCTCCCTGGACTCAGCCCCATCCCCTCTGGATGCTGAGCTGTGCCCAGAGAGAACCGCCTGTGCCTTGTCGCTGGGCAGAGGGAAGTCCTGGTCACAGAGCATTTTAACCATTTCAGGGACATCTGAGAGCCCAGCTCCCCCTGGCCCTCAGTGCTGGTGCTGGTGCTGGTGCTGGTGCTGGTGCTGGTGCTGGTGCTGATGCTGGTACTGGTACTGGTGCTGGTGCTGTGGCAACACTGGTATCCTCCCTGCACCTAACGCAGTGCCTCACACTCCCTGGCACAGCCGCCTCTCGGTCACCATAGCACCTCGGGGCTCCAGTCTCTTTCCATCTTGGCCACCAGCAGACTGTTACAGAGCGAAACTCTCTCTACTTATCCCAACCATGCATCCAACAAGCGCCCTGTAGACACAAAGCTCTGCACAATGTCTAGTCGGACCTTAGGGGTACAGAGAACCCCGAACACTCCAACACGTAGTGTTAGGCTCGAGCCATGGCGGGCACAGGCCTCCCAGGTCAGAGATGCTCCTGGCGTCCCCAAGGGCACGGCCGAGGAGGGTCTGCCAAGGGGGCTCCACGGTTGGGGGATGTGGTACGTAAAACCTTTAGGGGTGGGAAGTGTGGGAAGTGTTCTGGAATCTCAGTTGTCCAGTCTGGACAGAACACAGGTGGAAAGGGCAGGCGTGGGAGGCAGTGTGGTCAAATGCTGGGGGGCAGGAAGATGCAGACTGAGAGCCACGGGAGAGCCGGCAAGGGCACGGCAGGACCAGACCTGTCTTTGATGAGATGAGGCAGGTGTGAGAATAAGAATCCATTGAGTGGGGACACTGAGGCTGGGGGACCGATTAGACCAGTGGTCGGCAAACTGCAGCTCTCGAGCCACATGCGGCTCTTTGGCCCCTTGAATGTGGCTCTTCCACAAAATACCGACTTCTGTGCATGGGCCACGAAGTTTCAATTGCACTGTACGTGCGCGCCCGCATGTGGTATTTTGTGGAAGAGCCACACTCAAGGGGCCAAAGAGCCGCATGTGGTTCTCGAGCCGCAGTTTGCCGACCACTGGGTTAGACTATTCTAGCAGTCCAGGACCTAACTGAAGGAGAAATGAGCAGAAAGACAGGAAAGGACTGGAGAGCCACAGACTCGGCAGATTCGGGGCCTGACGGATGCGCTGGGTCAGGAAGTCCAGAAGGAGCTGGGCCCTCGGTGGAGAGGGCACAGTCGAGCAGCCTGGCCCACGCACTGACTCACCCATAGTTCTGAGGGCTCTGCTGGGGCTGTTCTCTACCTGGGACATGAGCCACGGCCGGCTGGTTCTCCATCTGTCCCAACTGGTGACCTGGAGGCCAAGGTGCTCCATCCATGGGGCCATGGGCGGGGCGGTGGTGAGAACAGAGTGGGGGGATGGGGGGGTCGAGGAGGGAATACTCCAGAGCCCAAGTGAGCGTGAGTGTGGTCAAGGAACAATCACAAAATGCGTGTGACATCAGCACTGAGCAGGTCTCACCTGCAGGGCGCACTCCACAGGAATGCCTGCTGGCAAATGTGCTGTTACTTCTTCCTGGGCCCACAACACAGGGAAGGAAGCCAGACAGGGTGGCCGGTCAGTGGTGCTGCCCCAAGCCAGGCCTGGGAGTCACCCCTCCTCTTGCCCACACCGCCTGTGGCTGAGGGATGCCAGTAAGCACATCCCTGTCCAGGCAGAGGGGCACTCGCACTGGTTTTGCGGGGGCTGCACTGCAAAGCCAAGGTCTAAGGAGCTCTGAGGACTAGGTGAGCACCTGGGCATTTTCCTTCTGCCGGGGCCTTGGCGGTGGTCCCCTCCAGCCATGCCAACGGGACCTGTGGGGGCTCTGTGGTGGGTTCCTCTCTTCCTCCCACGACTCACCATCAGCAGTCACCAACGGACGGCTGTTACCATCGTAACTAGCCAGTTCATATTATAGATAGGAAGACAGCAAAAGGGAGGCCAGACATTGTAAGCACAGTTATCTGGGCAGCTTCGCCAGCAAAATGCAACTTCATGCTCCCTCATCCATTCCCTGCAGATCACTGCGGGAAAGGGCCCAACGAGGGGGAAAGGGATGCATGGGCAGTGAAGTCGGGGTGACGTAGGGAAGGGGCTGGCCTGTCAGTCTAACCTGGAAAAGGATAACTGGCTAGAGGGGGTGGAGCCACTGCAAGTGCACAAAATCCAAAGGATTCATTGGATAAGCTCCCGGTTAAAAACCACAGACAAAGGAATTCTCTCTCTCTCTCTCTCTCTCTCTCTCTCTCTCTCTCTCTCACTCTCACTCTCTCTCTCTCTCCTTTTGCTTCGCTCCTGCTTCCTGGCACTGGCTTCTTCCATGACCCGTGCTAGCCTGCCCAGCATGTGGCCGCGGACCCCACAGGCAATGGCCTGCAGCTGGGAACACTAGTTCAGCCAGCCAGATGCTGGACCAGACCTGAATATGGACTTCTTCCAGGGCAGAGGGAGATGGCACCTCGGTGGGGAACTCCCTTAATGTTACATCATCAATAAAGCTTCCTACCATACCTCACCGCCCCCCGCCCCCCCATGGAGGCCTGAGAAGTTCTTGTTCGTGCGGCACCCCAAGAGCTCCACTTCCATCAGCAACATGGGGACACAGAGGACACCCCACCAATAACATAGTCACCGAGGGAAGACAGGCCAGGGCCCTCACCATGACCCAAGGGGGCCCGGGAGATTACTCCCCCAGCCCCGTAGCACCAAGCAGAGTGCTATGTTCTGAACACAGTAGGACCTTCCCCCCTGCTGCCTGGATGCTCCTTACATTCTCTTTTTTAAAATATATTTTTATTGATTTCAGAGAAGAAGGGAGCGGGAGAGGGAGAGAAATCAACGATGAGAGAGAATCATTGATTGGTTGCCTCCTACACACCCCCACACTGGGATCAAGTCCCAAACCCCGGCATGTGCCCTTGACCGGGATCAAACCCGGGACCCTTCAGGCCGCAGGCCTATGCTCTACCCACTGAGACAAACCAGCTAGGAAACTGGCACTTTCAAAACTGTGTTATTTCAAAAGCGGTGCATAACTTGAATACTAAGCAAATCAAAAGGCATTTTATGACCGGCACTAGCCATGATGCTCAAATGCATCCTTTTGCCGAGTGAATCCCGGTCATTTGGACTTATCTTCCACGTGTGTCGCTACTCCTGCTGTGAGAGGTGGGCTTGCCCAGCTCACCTCTCCCTCCCATCATGAAGGCAGGTGTTGGAGAAAGAATCACACTTCCAGGGGACTTGCAAAGGTAGCTTCCATTTTTAATTGCCCAGAAGGAATGTCCTTTGAGGGCAATTAATTTGGGAGGGTTCATGCCGCAGGGAAACCATAATCCCCAGAGAAATGCACAGGTGCTCTGTAAACAAAGCCCAGAAACCTCCCGTGCGCAAGCCGAGGGCCCGGGGAATGCCCTCCGTGAAGCCGATTTAACCCAAGCCTGGAGCTTACACCACAGGGACCGCCAAGATGCCCACGCGAGGGCCCGAGCCACGTTCCCTCTGCCAACCCACCCTCAAGTCCTCCCTGCCCCTCCTCCCTCTTCCCGCAAGGGCCCCCCCCACCCCCCGCCCCTGCGGAGCCCGTGCGCAGCCAGGGGAGAACTACGGCCAATTTCTAGTTGATTCACAAACTCTGAAACCCAGCAAAGCTGAGCGTCCGCGCCGTCACGTCACTAAACAAGAACGCGAGATGCTTCAGGGCAGGCGTTTGTGTCACCCTGACCGCCGCCTCCGCGGGTGCCGGCACCCGGTCCCACAGCTGGTGCAGGACCGCGCTGGCGGCGAGGACATGTCAGCCACGCGCAGTGAAAATGAACCCGGCTCTCCCCTCCCGGGCTCCGAGCCCGGCCCCGCACCGCTGGCCTGGGCAGCCACCCCTCGGCTCCGGTTCGGACAGAGCGCCTTCCCGAGTCCCCTCCCTTCACACTCAGTCTCCCCGTGAGGTGGGGCTCCGCGCCCCGCAGCTCGGAGAAAGGCAGGCTCTGCAGCCGGAGCGTCCGGACTCCGGGAGCGGCCGCCGGGTCCCCGAACCGCTCCAGCCTCCCTGGGAACCTGCGCCAAACGACTTGGACCCGGGCCGGGGGTCCTGGCTGCAGGGACAGGAGGGCGGGGCGCGGGGGGCGCGGGGGGCGCGGGGGGCGGTGTAGGGGGCGCGGGGCGCCGGCGAACCCCGCGCGGCCACACTCACTGCCGGTAGGGGTCGTGGAAGGGGAGCGCCAGCCAGGCGCCGGGCAGCTGCCGCAGGAACCCTTCCATCTCCGGGGCGCTGCCGTCGGTGGACACGAGGACCACGGCCAGGGGCGCGGGCGGGCGCGCCTGCTCCACCAGCTCCGCGTAGAAGTCGCAGAGCAGCGGCGTGAAGTCGCGGCTGGGCGCGCAGCGGCCCGACGCGAAGTACAGCGCCACCACCTTGTTCTGCAGCGCCGCCTCGGCCTCCACCCAGGCGCCGCCGGGGGCCAGCAGGCGCCGCCCGCCCAGCACGTCCACCATGGCTGGCGCGGAGGGCGCGGGCGGCGCGGCGCGCACGGGGACGGTCGCTTGCGGCGGGTGGTCGCCTCTTTTCTCCCCGCTCCGCGCGGTGACGGCGCAAGACCCTCCCGGGCATCAACACCGGCCTCGGGCGGCGACTGGGCAGCAGCGTCCGCACGGGGGAGGAGGCGGGGAAATGCAGACGCCTGCGGCTCCCGCGGCCACCGCAGCAGCTCCGCGCCGCGCCTCCGGCAGCGAGCGGCCCGCTAAGCCCTAGCGCTCTCCCCGCCGCGCCCACCCCGCGCCCCTCTCTCCTCCCCTCCCATCGCCCGCAGCGCCCCGCAGTCTCCGCGCCCCTCTCCCCGCCCCTCTCTCCTCCCCTCCCATCGCCCGCAGCGCCCCGCAGCCTCCGCGCCCCTCTCCCCGCCCCTCTCCCCGGCCCTCCCATCGCCCGCAGCGCCCCTCTCCCCGCCCCTCTCTCCTCCCCTCCCATCGGCCGCAGCGCCCCGCAGTCTCCGCGCCCCTCTCCCCGCCCCTCTCTCCTCCCCTCCCATCGGCCGCAGCGCCCCGCAGTCTCCGCGCTCTCCGCCCACGCGCTTCTCTCCCCTCGGACCCTGCCCTGCGCCTGCCCACCGCTCCACCTCTTGGCGCGCCTCCTGCGCTCGGTCCCGCCCCCCCTGCCTGGTGTTCACCAAGCAGTAGGCCTGGGAGGTTCTGTCCGGAGGGGAAGGGCGGGTGGAGGGGAGACGACCCCGTTCTTTCCCGGGATTGCAGGACATCCTGCGCCTGGCCTGGGAGTCCTGCACTTGAGGGAGCTGCTGCTGCTTCTTTTTAAAAATCTTTATTTATTTTTAATTTTTATTATGGAAATATTCAAGTATACATAACAGTAGAAATAGTATAATGGCCGAAACCGGTTTGGCTCAGTGGATAGAGCATCGGCCTGCGGACTGAAAGGTCCCAGGTTCAATTCCGGTCAAGGGCGTGTACCTGGGTTGCGGGCACATCCCCAGTGGGAGATGTGCAGGAGGCAGCTGATCCATGTTTCTCTCTCATCGATGTTTCTAACTTTCTATCTCTCTCCCTTCCTCTCTGTGAAAAATCAATAAAAAAAAAAAAATAGTATAATGAAGCCCAATGTTCCCATTAGTCCGGCGTCAGCAATCCACACTCACAGTACATTTGACATCACGATGTACGTGTGAGGCAGCTTCTTAAAGAAGCGAAGAGTGAAGTGTCCCGCACCAGTGAGGCCTGCGAGCAAAGTCTCAGCTTCCGCCGGGGTGGAAGGACACCCGCCTGGGCGCAGAATTTGAGGAGCCATAACTCAGTGGTCGAGAAAAACGCTATCCCAATGCAATGTTTTATTTTATCCTCACCCAAGGGTTTTTTATTGATTTTTCAGGGAGGAAGGGGGAGAGAGAAAGAGAGAGGGGGGGAGAGAAGTGGATTGGTTGCCGCTCACACGCCCAGACAGGAGATCCAAACCGCACCGTTCAGTGTATGGGAGATGCTCCAACCAACTGAGCCACCGGCCGGGGTACTAATGCAATATTTTAAAAACTCAAAATTGCCCTAGCCGGTTTTGCTCAGTGGATAGACCGTCGGCCTGTGAGCTGATGGGTCCCGGGTTTGATTCCTGGCAAGGGCACATGCACATGCACATGCCTGGGTTGTGGGCTCATCCCCAGTGTGGGGTGTGCAGGAGGCAGGCCAACAATGATTCTCTCTCATCATTGATGTTTCTATCTCTCTCTCCCTCTCCCTTCCACTATGAAATAAATAAAAATATATTTAAAAAAATAAAAACTCAAAACTAATGCCCAAAAGTTCATGATGAACAAAACATCAAACATGGAAATAGGACAGGATGACTCCCTGCCCTCAGACTCAGAAGGCAGGCACCTCACCCTGTCTGCGCCCTTCCAACCCCCCCCCCCCCCCCACACACACACAAACAAACAAAAACCCTAGGCGAATGAGGACAACTCATTGTGCTTGCTCTGGAGAGGGAGGGGCAGGGCTGCGGAGGGGGTGCAGGTAGACACCTGGAGCGAGGTTGACCCCTCCACTCTCTGCACCATGAAACTGACATGTTGGGACACTATGCACTTGGCAGAGCCAGGGCTAAGTTCACGTTCTGTTGCCGGACAGATGGCCCATGAAGAGCGCTACCAAAGCCCCATTCACTGTCGTCTTAGAAGAGTAGGAATTTACGGGCAAACCTGGATTCTCCAAAGTCTCCCATCTCCAACAAGTGGGTTCTTGGCCAAGTTGTTCATGGAAAATGTCTCGGTTGTGAAACAAAACTTCAGTTCTCGACCCAACAATCCTTTTGTGCTGATACCTGTATGGTCAGTTACATGTCTCTCAGGTGACAAACAAAGGAGAGAGTGCGTGAGTATGGGCCAGTTCACCACTAAACCTCGTAAACCTCGAATTGTTAACATCTCAGGAAATTGTGCTGTGAATATTTTTTGCTTTTGTTGCTACTTATTATCAAACTAGAGGCCCAGTGCAAGAAATTCGTGCATGGAGGGTCCCCTCAGCCCAGCCTGCACCCTCTCGCAATCTGGGACCCCTCAGGGGATGTCCGACTGCCAGTTTAGGCCCAATCCCATGGGACCTAAGCTGGCAGTCAGACATCCCTCTTGCAATATGGGACCACTGGGTCCTAATCGCTTGCCTGCCTGCCTCATCGCCCCTGCCTGCCTCATTATCCCTAACCACTCTGCCTGCCTGCCTAATCACCCCTGACCACTCACCTGCTTGCCTGATCACCCCTAACTGCCTCTGCCTCGGCCCCTGCTGCTGTGGCTTCACCTGGAAGGACATCCGGAATGACACCCGGAAGGTCGTTTGGCTGTTCAGTCTAATTAGCATACTATGCTTTTATTATTATAGATATGTACAGTAAGTCATATTGATTCCTAAGGTTAGTGATAGCAACAAAGTGAAAAGGAAAGTTGTGAGAACAACAATAGAGCTTAACAAAGAAGTAATTGCAAGTATGATGGCGATGTCTGAGTGTCTGACCTGGCTACCGAGTATGGAGTGGCGAAATCAATGATTAGCACACTTTTATTTATTTATTTATTTTAAAGACAGATTCTTCTACTTTTTATTTTATTTATTTGTTTAAATATATTTTATTGATTTTTTACAGAGAGGAAGGGAGAGGGATAGAGAGTTAGAAACATCGATGAGAGAGAAACATCTATCAGCTGCCTCTTGCACATCTCCTACTGGGGATGTGCTCACAACCAAGGTACATGCCCTTGACCGGAATCGAACCTGGGACCTTTCAGTCCACAGGCCGACACCCTATCCACTGAGCCAAACCGGTTAGGGCATTAGCACACTTTTAAAACACAAAGAGGCCATCAAGAGTGCTGATGTTACTAAGGCTGTGAAAGTGCTCATGAAACAACAATCACAGGCAATTGAAGAGGTAGGAAATTGTTGTTGATTTGGATGAAGGACAAGCAGCAGGTGACAGCATTTCGGAGGCAGTGACATATGAAAAAGCAAAGATGCTGCAGCCTGACCTGAACACCCGAACAAGGGCTGACGGTGGCTCGTTAGGCCTGGATAGATGCAAGAAAAGAGGTGGCCTTCATCGGCACGAGGCTGCCGGCTCTAACAAAGCAGCTGCGGGTAATTTCGTGATGGAATCTGAACAATCCGTAGGGGCCAGGGGACTTGTTCCCCAGCGAGTGTTCAGTTGTGATGAGACAGGCCTCTTCTGGAGAAAACGCCCAGAGGACCTACATCCCACAGCAGGAGTCACGGCCGGGACGCGAGCCAGCGGAGGACAGGCTGGGCTGCTTGCAGGGTGGGATGGAGTGGCCTTCAAATGGAAGCATCTACTGAAACCCTCGCGTTTTCAAGAAAAACAATGTCATGAAAAACAAGTTGAATTCGACATGGAGAGCTCCTAGCAAAGCTTGGGTAAACAGGCAGGTTTTTTTGTTTTGTTTTGTTTTTTAAAATATACTTTCATTGATTTTTTTACAGAGAGGAGGGGAGAGGGATAGAGAGTTAGAAACATCGATGAGAAACATGGATCAGCTGCCTCTTGCACGCCCCCCACTGGGGATGTTCCCGCAACCCAGGTACATGCCCTTGACCGGAATTGAACCTGGGACCTTTCAGTCCACAGGCCGACGCTCTATCCGCTGAGCCAAACCGGTTAGGGCAACAGGCAGTTTTTTATTGAGTGGATTCATGAAGTGTTTGCCCCATGTGTGAGGACATACCCCTGGGAAACACAAATGCCACTCAGGGCACTTCCTGTCCTGGCGGGGCTGCTGCCCTCCCCAGGCCTGGAGCAGAGCTGCTGGAGGAGCACAGCTTCCCCACTGCGAGGTCCTCCCCACCTGCAGCGCCCGCCCCCAGCCCACGGGCCAGCAGGTCGTTTCTAACCCCACACGAAGGTCCTGTTTCAGAGGCGGTTTTCTTTTTATTCTCCTCACCCAATATATTGTTGAATATTCTCTATTCAATAAAAATTGATATGTTTTCATTGAATTTTAGAGAGAGAGGAAAGGGGAAAAAGAGAGACATCAACGTGAGAGAAACACACACACCCTGGGTCTGTGCCCTGACTGGGAATCAAACCCAAGACCTTCTGGTGTTTGGGACGACACTCCAACCAACTGGGCCATCCGGCCAGGGCAGAGGTGTTGTGAGGTGACCTGTGAGGCTAAGTTAACCCCCAGGGGGTCCTGGAAGGAGCGTTTTAATATCCTCACTTGCGTGAGGCTCATGGAGCATGGGGGAGTGTGCTCCAGGACCACGCAAACAGCTAGCGCAGTGGTCCTCAACCTTCCTCACGCCGCGGCCCTTTAATACACTTCCTCATGTTGTGGTGACCCCCAATTTATTGTTACAAATTGGACATAATTAAAGCATAGTGATTAATCACAAAAACAATATGTAATTTTTTTTAATATATTTTATTGATTTTTTTACAGAGAGGAAGGGAGAGAGACAGAGAGCTAGAAACATCGATGAGAGAGAAACATCGATCAGCTGCCTCCTGCACATCTCCTACTGGGGATGTGCCCGCAACCCAGGTACATGCCCTTGACCGGAATCGAACCTGGGACCTTTCAGTCCGCAGGCCGACGCTCTATCCACTGAGCCAAACCGGTTTCGGCACAAAAACAATATGTAATTATATATGTTTTCTCCGATGGTCTTAGGCGACCCCTGTGAAAGGGTCGTGCGACCCCCAAAGGGGTCGCGACCCACATTTTAAGAACCACTGAGCTAGAAGAAACTGGCCCGAGCCTGTTGCTGACAGAGCCTGTGCA